AACCGCATTCCATTTTCAGACCTTGTTTTGGTGTCTAACTAAAGAGAACTAGAGAGAAGAGCTCTGACCCCACTTGGAGGAAATGCAGCGAAATGCTCTGTCCTGGCACAAAGGCACGTTGCAACATCGATGGTCTTTAATCAACTTCCCACACGAACTGATTCACCAACAGCTTAATTCCTCCCGCTACAACTTTGATTAAGGAGCACACAACTTTTAACAGAAGAAAGTTCTGTACTTCCAGTTTTAAAAAGCAGACAGTTCTGTGAAAAGGCTACCATTTAAATAGCATCTGAGAGCATACGCACTGAGGTTTTTAACACTTCATGCCGTAAGAGAAGTTTTCATTTCAGAAGTATCATTTCATGGACCCAGCATCAAATATTGACACAATACATGTTTCATACAATATAATTTTGGAAACTTTAAGTGGCACAAAATAATCATAAAATTTTTATCAAATTCAAGTTTCCAGTGATCTTAAAAAACAAAAAGGCAGATTATAGCTGTTTTTGTTCAACTGAGATATCCAGTTATGGTTATTATCTAGCAAATGCTAAAGTTATATGAAAAAAAGGTCAAAGAAAATCTTTAACTTTGATAATTTTCAACCTTTTAGATATGCACAGCTAAATATAAAATGAGAGGCTCGTCTGGCATATGAGTAATTAAGTCAAGGAGCTTTACCACCCTAGCCTGCTATTAGAAGCTATTTTAGGTTTTACATAATTCCCACAGTCTTAATACCACTATTTTCCTTCAGATAAAAGAAACGACCTTTTGAAGTCATCGGCATCAGAAATGACACTTAGGGACAAGAATCACAACCAGAGTTAGGGGAAAAATGGGTCTTAGCAGTTTCTCTCCAAGTATGAGGAAGGCCAGATAATCAAGATACAATGGATGCAAGTTTAGAAACCTAGGGAAGCTCAAATTTCTTTAGTTATTTTTGTTTACTAAACAATCTGAAGTAAGCATTATATTCAGTTTGAAAAACAAATAAAATTTAAAAATAAATCAAGAAAAATGCAGCCTGGAGCATTTTAGGAGTCACCAAAGGTTTCCCCCTCCTTCCTTTGGGCACACTGTCTCACTTTTCTGTGAGACGAAAAAACACTTACCCTTAGCCACGAAAAGCTATCCACTTAGCCAGGAAAAAACAAAAACAAATCTCTGCTCAAAGCAGTCATACTTAAGAACACCGTGGGGTCTGCATAGGATTTTCCCTAATTTCCCACCCACCCAGACCCTGAAATCTGAAAACTTTTCTTCCACTTGCATGAAGTCTGAGCCACTATGTGTAACCCACACCAAAAGCGCTGTCAGGTTCTTCAATGTGTCTTGTTTTTTATTTTTTTTAATATGATAAAAGGGAACTTCAGACAACTCAGAAATATGTTAAAAAAAATTTGATGATAGTTCTTAAGATTTTCAAGTAAATGCTCCCAAATCAAGTGTTATCAACCTGCTAATTGGCAGCTAAAAATGCTGAATCATTTAAATTACGTTGGAACTGCGTTTATGACAGCTTCCTCTTGTGCTCTATAAGGATTGGAGTACTCAAGTCCACACACTAGCTACCTTCATGAAGGAATTCTTTTGACCAAAGTTTACCCTAAAACCAATTTCCTCAACTCCTTTCTTTCCCCCAAATTGTTCAAACACATTTTAAGGTGTGTAAGTACAGGGCACAGGGTGTTTTATACGGCACAGTACCCTTTAAGAAACCTAACATTTTTGTGAACGGGGAGACATTCACAACATACTTAAACTCTGTATTTACAGAAACTGTTTATGGGCGCTGCATAATCTGCACTGTGAGAACGTGTGTCGTGAGTCAAAGGATAAGCTGAAATGCTATAGTGTGACGATATATGCATTAGAGAGCTGCATAATTTAAAAGGAAAGCATATTATATATTTTAATAATTCCAATGTTTTCATCATATGGCCTTAACTTAACATTTTTTTTCTTTCTCCTTGTGATTTTGCACTTCTATCCGAGAGGGCATCTTTTATTTTTAAGACATGTTTGAGACTATAAAGAATATGCTACTGCAACTTAATATAAATAATCCATAAGCAATATACACGGATACACATAAACAGGTCCAGGCATCAGACCACTGACGTTGTACTTTCGGGATTCACACGCATCAGTCTCGATGCATTTCTCAGGTCCTGGAGTTGCTTGGCGGGTTTCCCCACACCCTCCTCAAACCTTTTCTCCACCACGGGGAGGACAGTTTCATACAGAAAGGATGCATTCTGCCTGATAAAAGCCTTCTTCTCTGGATCCTGCTCACATCGAAGACTGTAATCCACGTGCTGAACAGCAACCAAAATGATTTCCACCAGGCTCTCCAAAAGCACCATGTGCAGCTCCGGGAAATACAGCTTCAGTGCCTCTTCCAAGAAGCCCATGGTCTGTTTGGTGAAAGCAACCACCGTGTAACTGAGGTTCACCCAGCAGTCATCCCCCGTGTACTGCTCGAAGTTACCCACTCCACAGCTCTTCATCTCCTCTTTGAGTTTCCCCAGGGCCTCTGGAGTCATCAAGTTCATCCTCCTCCACATCTCCTCGGAGTTGCGATGCTTCGTAGCTTCGATGATGATTTCTTTGTAACTGTGTAGGGCCCCTTGGATGTCTTTCACTAGGAGGGCGTGGATGATGAAGGTGAGGTCTAGTCCGATGTCGCCCAGCTGCTGACAATGCTCCTTTGCCACTTTTACACACTCAGCCGCCGTGGAGAGGCTCTCCTTACTATCAAACACCTGCTTGCTAAAAGCATCCACAAACATGCCCATGGCTGACCTCGCCCAGACCACAAAGGCAGAGTAGCAGCCGCTGTCGGTGCCCGCAAAGTCCGTCTCAAATTCCCTGGCGGTCTCCAGAAGGCTGGTAAAGAAGACGTGGCAGAGCTTATGAATGTAGAGTAAAGTGGCACCTTCAATGCGAAGCTGGCGTATTGCAGTATGCACAGCTGCTGCCCTGTTTCTCAAAAACAGCTCACAAGCCTTCGTGCACTGGCCAAGCCGGATTAGCTGAGAAACCGCCCGGCGGGTAGCCTTGGGACCACCTCTCAGGGACCGATCCGGGGAGAGTTCAAACACTAGCACCTCAGTGAGCTGGCGGACACGCTCATCCACTCTGGCCCTTAGTTCTTTCACAGGAGGTGGGCTGGGCTTATCTTCCAGGTAACGGTTCAATTTATCCAGCAGGTCGACGGCCCCTTCAAAGTCCCTCTGGGCAATACAGACATCCAGGTCTTCAGGCAATTCCTGGATCCATTCCACTGAGAGGTCCACCTTCTCTTCTTCTGCCTCGGGAACAGCTGGTTCGCCGTCGTCTTCGTCCTCAAATGGGTTGCCAGCCTTGGAAGTCACCTGGGGTGGCCCTCGAGGGGCAGCTGCCTCCTCCTGCCCCCTGCGTCTTTTTTCACTGAGGGCCCTCTTGGTTTCCTCCAGCACTTCCAGCCACTCTCGTTTGATTTTTGCGTTTTCCGCTTGAAAAATACGGCTCTCAGGAAACATGAGCAGCTTGAACATGTCCTTCATGGGCGGGTTGTCCTTGACATTGACCACGGCCAAACCATCCAGGGGATAGAGGGCGTTGTAGCGATACATCCCCCGCCGCTGTGGCAGCCAGGTGGCCACCAGCAAACAGTCGTTCATGAGAAAGCCGTGCACCCGCTGCAGCTGGGCCATGTGGTCCGCCTCGTATTCCACCAGGTCCCCGTTGTACACCAGGTACTGTCCCGGCGTCTCCAGCAGGTGCCTGCAGCCTTCCACCTTCTCAAGCAGGGTGGTGAGAGTGCGCTGCTTTCCTTCCTCGCCTGGCCCAGAACTGTCGCGGGAGGCGCCCCCGGGGCTGGGGAAAAAGCCAGCCTGGCCCCGGAGGTGGTCGCGGACCCCCGCGCCGCCTCCCCCCTCCTCCCCTCCGGAGGCGGCGGCGGCCCCCGCGGCGGCGGCAGCCGGCAGCAGGGTAAGCGGGATGCTCTCCAGGCTGCTCTTCTGCTCGGTCAGCAGGTGACTGAGCTGATACATCTCGCTCTCCAGGTAGGAGATCTCGCGGGCCGTCTCTATGAACTGCCGGTAGTTCTGGTAGACGTTGCGCTTCAGGTTCTGCGCCGTCTCCTCCGCCAGCGCCTGGATGCGCTGTCGGTGCTCCTGCAGGTCTCGGTCTCCGTCCGACTGCTGCGAGAGCTGCTTCACGTACAGCCGCGCCTCGAAGCCGCCCGACTCCAGCTGCCGCCGCAGGCGGCTCGCCCCGCTGTCTGACATCGCCATCGCCATTTCCGTCCGGACTCACGCAGTCCCTGTCACTATCGCCGTCGCCCGTGCCGCCGCTGTCGAGGCCCACCCAAGCCGGGTCCAACTCCAGGGCTGCGGAAGCAGGCTGGAAGAGAGACGAGTACGCCTGCGCCCGCGTATGAACTTCAGGCACTGCGCCTACGCAAGAGGCCGGGCGCAGGCGTTGCGCCTGCGCAGCAGCGCCAGCGGCCTAGGGCGCATGCGCCGGAGAAGCTATTGCGGAAGCGAGTGGAAGGCGGGGCAGAGAGACGTAGGTGCTGCGCCAGAACCGAGCGTGACGTTGGTGTTTGACGTTACTCGCGAACCGAGAAGGCGGTAACCAGGTTTCTGAAACCTGCCTCCGGTTCAAGCCCTGGGAACCCAAGTTTTGAGCCCACTGGGAGGTGCTGTCATGGTGAGTTCTTTTTTTTTTGAGCCCCAGAAGCTTTACTTCGGCGTCTGGGACAAGTTGCGTTCTCGTTGTCGAGGCAGTTTGTCTGAGTCTCGCGAGATCGGTGGGCTGACCCGTGGGCCGGTATCTCCTAGGAGGAGCTCGACCCGGCCGTCCGAGGCTCCGGTACGTGGAGTCCCCCGGCAGCCATGGATGAGGACATGGTTTTGGCGCTGCAGCTTCAGGAGGAGTGGAACTTGCAGGTCTTGGAGCGCGATCCGGCCCAGGAGCCTCTGTCTCTGGTGGACGCGTCCTGGGAGCTGGTGGACCCCACCCCCGATATTCAGGCCCTGTTTATGCTGTTCAACGACCGTTTCTTCTGGGGCCATCTGGAGGCGGTCGAGGTGAAGTGGAGCATGCGAATGACGCTGTGAGTCCCGAGCCGCGCCGCGGGCGGGGGGCGCCGGCGGCCGCAGCTGGCGCTGAGGAGCTGGGGGCAGGCGGCCCCTCGGTCCTGTGTCCCTTCCCTGCCCTTCTCTGTCCCGCCCAGACAGCGTCAGGGGAGCCCTGTGGCCCACCCCGCGGCGGTTTGGCTGGTAAGGGGACGTTCCTTGGCGTTAGAACGATGAGCTGACCGTTTTCTGATGGGGCTTACGGGAGCGCTCTAGGACCCAGGCGGGAGAAGCAGCCGGAAGCTGACCCCGGGAAAGGAGGCCGAGGCCGCGGCTTGCTTTCTTCCCCGGGACGCGTGCAGTCTCTGCCGGGCTCGGCGGGTACCGCCGCTGGGCCGCGAGCTCGCGGGTCAGGGTGGGGAAGGGGCGGCGTTTCCCTACTTCTGGGTCCAGGGGATCTTCGGGGGGGGTGCGGCGGGGTGCGTCTCAAAGCAGCCCTTTCCGGCACGCCGAGTCCGGGAAATGCCGGCTCCAGGTAACCTGCTGCTGCGTACGAACGGAGTTGAGATGTTGACAGTGCGGTTCGAGGCCACCGCGCTTGCTCTTGGATGGAGGCGAAGCGCCCTGAAGTTAAGAGATGAAGGTACGACACGGAAGTGTGTTTCTAGTGCCATGCTGCTGCGTATGTGGGTTTCCTCGACGCTTCTGGACACAGGCTGCTGGAGACCTGGCCGTTACCGCCACCGACGACTGACCGACGGTGGCGTGTAGGAAGGAGGCAGGGAGCGGCAGAACTGGACGGCCTTCTTCGAGCTCTTGCGGCCAGGCTGGGGTTCGGGGAGTCCCTGCTGCTCAGGTGCCTCCCTAACTGGCGCGGAAGGCAGGGGCCGCCCCTCCAAGCGGCTGCGCGTGCGCTCTCGAGAGAGAGCCCCTCCCCCCTGCCCGAGAGCCCTCTCAGTCTGGACCGTTGGAGAAGGAACCGGCGGTTGCCCTTTCCCGTCCGCTTCCCTTTCGCGTATCTTTGCTAAGCGACCGTTTTGTGGTGGTTGTTTTCCAGGTGCGCTGGGATATGCAGCTACGAAGGCAGAGGCGGAATGTGTTCCATCCGCCTCAGTGAACCCCTCTTAAAGTTGAGACCAAGAAAGGATCTGGTGGAGGTATTCTTTGCGTGAACCCGATGCTTAGCTCAGTAATTTAGAAACGCTTGTTACTGGTTTAGACTGCCGTAAATTAATTTGTGCACGTGAACAAGAAAAAACCCGTTTTCCCTCACTGCGAACTTTTATTGTGGGGCAGATAATAGTGATTACCTTATATTCTTATCGTGTTTCGAAAATAGAGGCTTTCAGGTAAGTCACCCAATGTGAACTTTACGGTAATCCTGTTTATGTTCACGGTGTGTTCTCATTTTTATAAATGAGATAATCAAGGTTCAGAGAGGCAGAGTGGTTGGTTTAGAAGCAGAGAAAAACTTAGGATCCAGATCTTTGTATTGAGACACACAGATTCTCCTGTGTTCAGCCACCATGGTGTCCTCCCAGGACGTGTAGCTGACTGGCAGAACAAAGCAGCGTGAGGGCACGCTGCGTATCTAGAGCTAGTGGCCACTCCTGCTAGCAAAACGGAGCCGTGGGAGCTGTCAGAGTATGTTTAGTGGAGTCGAATAGTTGCCTGAAGATCCCCAAGATACAGCCAGTGTGAGTGGTCTTGCCCCAATTATATCACCTGCAGCATACGCACTAGAGGGCATAGGTGGTAGAGAAATACCACCTGTGGTATAGGTGGATGGGAAATAAGTTAAAACATGCTTGGAAATATGTTTTTAAGGGTAATAAAAGGTAATGGGTTTCACAACAATGTGAATGTACTTAGCACTACTGAACCGTACACTTAAAAATGGTTAAGGTGGTAAATTTTATGTTACTTTTTTTTTTAACCACAGTTTTAAAAAGGTAAATAGCCACTAAATGTAAAATGGTACAACAGAAATAACCCAATTAATAAGAAAGAAAGGAATAAAGGAACAAAGCCCAGATCAAATAGAAAGGTGGACATAAAAACAGCAGTTATTATGTTAAATGTAAATGGACTAAACACTCCAGTTAAAAACATGAAACGACATCCTAGATTAACAGAGACATGTTTAATATAAAGACACATGTTAAATATAAAAGGATGAGAGAAAGCATATCATCTAAATACTAGACAACAGAAAGCTGCTATGGCTTTACTAGTATTAGTTTAAAGAATTTAAGGGAGGGAGTTTTACTAGAAAAAAGGGAGACATTTTATAATGATAGAATAATCTATTAAATAAAAACACATAGTGACCCTAAAAGTAATAACATAGCTTTAAACGACATGAAGCATCAATTAGCAGAAACAAAAAGAGAAATAATCAATCCACATAGTTGCAGATGTTAACACAACTCCGTTGGTAATTAAATGAATAAGCAGGAAAAAAATAGTAAAAATGAAAAAACAAAAGTTGAACAATGTGATTAACCAGATCAACCTTACCAGGAGCCCCAATTGGAAAAGCCCTAACTGAAAACTGCTTCATGAATATTTGTTGCATAAATGATTAAATTAACACGTGAACAGTTTTTATCTTTTTAAGGTAATGGGCAAGAAGAAAATGGGAAATAGGTGCTAATGCTTCAAGTGAGCATTTGCTGTTGGCAGAAAGTTCTAACATCAGATCAGGAAGGTGGACAGAGGAAGAATAGGGGGACTCTGGCCCGTATTGAAAGTAGCTGCCTAAATTATAATCAGTAGGATTCAGAAAAGGAAAAGACTTAAACTGCTTGAGGAGGTCAAGAAAAGCTTCAGAGATGTGGATTTCATTGCTAGTAACATCACCACGCCTACTGCGTGCCAGACTACCCTGGTTATTGTAGCGTTCGCCTTTACCACAGCCCTGCAAGATTAGGGTATCTCCATTTTAAGGGTGAGGGGCAAGTGTAACTTGTCCAGGGTCACGTGGATCACGAATACCAGATCCTCGCTTTAGGCTCTGGATTCCCTGGCCCTAAAGCTCTTGTCCTGTCCCCTTAGAACTGTTACCACTGCAAACTAAAACATGGGGGTGAGCCTGACAGGACAGGTTGGATTCTCACATGTACACATAGTAGAGGAGACTATCTAGACAGAAGGAGCGGGAGTGCTGTGAACAGAAGCGAGGCCGCTAAACTTACGGCATGTTTAGGAGCAGAAGTACTTGTTTTTGGCCAGATATAGAACAGTGGTGGGAAATAGAGGAATTTGGGGACCATGCTGTGTAGAGCCTAAATGTGGAAAATGGTAGATATATAAAAATAGAAGTGTTCAGTACAACGCCATGTCCCATTTTCAAGATGTGTTTAAATTGGACCAAAAATCAGGAACCTAAGTAGTTTCTCCTTTCTGAGAATAGTTATCATTATTTTAGAAAGTTGAGAGACATCTGAAATGTAGAATGGCCTTTGACTCTAAGTCTCAGTAGAGTGGCATTTTCTTGAAAAGATAGAGTTGATAATTTTAAAAGGGATGGTTTCATAATGACCAAGTTAAAATGTTCGATTCTCCCATTTTGCTGTTCAGCATAATTTTGTAAGACTAAAATTCATTAATGCCAGTCTAGTTCTTCTGATGGAAATTCTTTTTTTCACAAAACTATGGAGGATTATGAAAAAGGTATGCTTTTGAAGACCTTTATGATTTTCACTTTTTGTGTTCACTTTTTTTTAGAATAAAGTATGAAATAGCAGCCTTAAGTGCTTTTGTTAACTTTGCACCTAAACTGCTGCATCCTTGGTGTGGAATGAGCAGGTTTTACTGTTTGTTTTAAATTTTTACATGATTCAGAATCCCAAAGCTATAGAAAGCTGTACACAAGGAAATCTTGATCTCCCCCATCCCTCTATTCTGAACTCTCTACCTACTAAAGGATACTGTTATTAGTTTCTTTTTTCTATCGTTGTTCTGTTTTGCCAGTATTTATATCCACTCTTATGCCCTCCCCACCACATAGCATACTTCTTATACAAAATTCTGTGTATACTCTTCTGTACTTTGCCTTTTTTCATTAAAATGATACAGTCTGTAGCCTCCTCCAGATCATTTCATAGAGAAATTTTTCTTTCTTTTTTATGGCCGCATGGCATTCCATCTGTGGCTCTTCTTTCAACAAGGCCCCTGTTGCTAAACACTGTTCTCACTGTTTTGCTTTTGTAAGCAGTGCCACCGAGAAAATACCTCATATGTGCGGCCTTTCATTTTAGTCTGGGTGTTGCTGAGTTCAGCGATAAATGGATTTGTAATTTTGTTAGATGTTATCAAATTCTCCTCCCCAGGGAGAGGAGAATTTGTACCGTTTTGCACTCCTACCAGTGATATATGGGAGTGCTTATTTTCCCTTAGCTTTACCAATGGTGTCAAACTTTAGGAGTTTTACTAGTCTTGATAAGCAAGAAGTGGTATACTAATGTATAAATTTGCATTTCTGTTTTTATAAATGACGTTGAACGTTTTTCACATGTTTATGGATCATATATGTTTCATTTTCTCTGACCTGTCCGTGACATTTGCCTACTTTAAAATTGTATTGTTGGTCTGGTCATTTCCCTGTGGACTTTTAGGAGTTCTTTATATTTTAGGAATTAATAGGCTGTGAGACGGTTGCACATATATTTTTCTGAGTTTCTTTTTTCGCTTTACTTATAAAATTTTTTCCCCATACAGAATTTTAAAATTTTCATGTAGTTGGATTTGTCAGTCTTTTCTACTGGATTTTTATTAATAATTAAAAAGGCTTTCTTGGAACAAGAGTTCTTAGCCTGGGACCTACAGAGCTTTGGATATTATAGAGACAAAGTTTTGTGAATGTATGCTTATGTAAGTTTTCTAGAAAGATCGTTCATGACTTTGTTCAGTATCTGAACGGAGCCTGTGATCCAAAGAAGGTTAAGACCCCAGGTAGAGTAAGAAAATGCATTTTCCTTTTCAAAAGCACCATAACAAATTAATTTGACTGTTCTCTGTTTCAGACCCTCTTGCATGAAATGATACATGCCTATTTATTTGTCACGAATAACGATAAAGATCGGGAAGGGCACGGCCCAGAGTTTTGTAAGCATATGCATCGCATCAATCGCCTGACGGGAGCCAATATAACGGTATATAAAGCCACACACATTTACGATATTCAGCAGTTATTTATTCAGCACTTCCTGAAAATAGAGAACTGGGTAGAAACGAATACTGTGTTTGAGGATTTTCCACAGCAAGTGAGAGGCCCAGAGAAGCTGCCTGGCCTGTCGAGGACCACGTAGGCGGAGGGCGGCCGCACCAGCGGTACCCTGGTGCCTCCAGCCACAGCGAGGGCAGCCCGTTGCACAGGGTTGCTGCAGGCCTGCGCACCTCTCTTCTGGACCACTGCAGTCCGCTCCTGATTTTGTTGCCTCATCGTGTCCTCCTCCAGTCTGTCCCATATTCTGCCACCATTTCCTGTGTCATTCCCTTCTTCAGAAGTCTTGATTCATGTTTCTGCATGATACTGTAGGAGATGGCAGAGCCTGGGGTCAAAAAAGCAGGAAGAGTCAGGTTGCTTGCGTCCAGACGCTGGTGCCACTGATTCACTGTGGGACCCGCAGATTTCTTCTGCGCTTCAGTTTACTCGCGTGAAAGGAGGGTAGTGACAGCACCTACCTGTTGGGTCCTGTGAGGCTTAGAGGAAGTACGTGCAAAACGTTTTAGCACAGTTTGAGTACTCATTAAATATTAGTTGTTTTTGTTATTACTGATTCACTTTTTCAGATAACCTTGCTCTTCCCTTTCTCTTCCCTTCTGCAGCCCCCCTGCTTATGTCTTAACGTTTCTAACTGGACTTTGCACCTCCGTGCCTGTCCTCATATACCCTCTTCCTAAAAGATGCCACTTCTCCTATTTTCTGTCAACATGATCTCCATCTTTACAGTGAGATGCAGCTTCTCCCTCCTTGGAACCTGCTCGGCAGATGTTTAACCTTTTACACTCCTTTATTCTGCTTTCATACCTCTCACGGGGCGGCTCTTGCCTGTCCTCACATACCTCTGCATGAGATGTGTAGTGCAGTGTCTCTACAGGCGCTTAGCAAATATGGAATTGAATGGAACCAAACAGAAATATTAATTCCTACAAAGATTAAATGCCTTGGTGTGTTTAGATATTTCCTTCCTTTAAAAGGCAACACAGGCCAGTGTGATGGAAAGCGAGAAGTGCTGACCCTCCGTGTATTATTCTCTAGCCGTCAGTTTAATTTTCTAGAGAGCTCATTTACTTACCGGACAGAGTTCCTTCAACATCAGGGAAGTGGCTTGCATCAACACAATCACATAAAATCCAGATTAGCACAAGAATTCCGGAGTTGCTAGTGTAAAAGACTTAGTTTCTTCATCAGAATTCACACTTTAAGCAAAATCCTAGTATACTTCCTGTTGTTCAGTTGGAAGAGGATATGCCCTTTTATCTTGGATGTCTGTGTGTTTTCATCTAGGAGGTTTGATCAGGTGGACACCCCTTGCTTTCACGGGTTACATCACGCTATAGCACACTCCACAGGGCATCCACATTGAGAACAATTTTATTTTAGTGACTACATTGTTAAAAAGTTACATCCCCAGGCTATAGGAATTACGGAAGCTGCAAGCAAAACAGATCCAGTTCGCTGTGGTCTTTGCCGCTGAATTGTTAAGCGGAGTGTTCTCAACACGAGAGAGCGGGCAGGGTCTTACAGGCCTCCTCGCTCCCAGACCCTCTGGCCTCCAGTCTCTTCTGCCCCTACCATCGTTTGCGTTGTTGGCGTGCTTGCCGAATGCTAGAGTTGGTTTGCTTGTGATGGAGAGATGGCGGCTACGAGACTGTCTGTCTGTAGACTTACAGACAGCTTAGCATTCTCCCCACGGGGGACTTCGCTAAAGAGTCAAATGCCTCGGTTTAAACCAACGAAACAAAACTCAATGCTGCGCTCCTTATATAAACAGTAACATTTCACTGAGAGGACAGGAGGAGAAGGTGCTCAGTCCTTCAGGAGTATCCGTTTCAGACGGTGCCCTGCCGTCCTCAGCACTCCTGAGGTGGGGGGGCTATAGCCGTCCTGTCTGTCTCCTGCTTAGGTTCTAAGTAAGATTTCATCTAGAGGGTGAAACAGACGGATCCTGTTGAAGGACTGAAAAGCACATTTACAGAGAATTTTATTTGACTCGAAGCTTTTCACTCAGCAAACACTGAGCACCTTCCCTGTGCCAGGCGGTAATAGCCACTAGGGGTACAGGCTGAGAACTTTCAAGTCCTGGAGAGCTTTTCACCTATAATCAGATAAAATGATAGCCCGAAGCCTTCTTATGAAGAAATGGGCGGAGCCGGGCGCATGTGCGGGCGGGTTTGACAGACGCTGCACGAGGTTTGGGTCCAGCATTTACAGGAAACGGTCCTCAGGACCCTTTGTTTACTTACAGGGGAAGATTTCAGCTTGGCAGTGGGAACAATTCTTATTTATTACAGCATTATATAAAATCTTGTCTTTATCCTAGTTTTTCATCGTTTAGAAATAGGGTTTCTAAAACTTTTAGCATTTATAGAAGCTTTTTGTTTTTTTTATTTTTAATTTTCTTGTCTTCTAGTCTCACCGTTTTCTATCTTTACAGTTTATGAAGCACTAAATTAAGTGCTTCTGTTTCCCATTAAAATGAACTTTTGAAGAGAAGCTAAATATCGTTACTGTCTTTCCCAAAACACAACTTCAGAAAGCTCTGGGAAACTGGAAAGTTGAAAAAGGGGGCGGGGGGCTGCTTATATATGGCTTGTATATTCTCTTACACTTGTTAACCTGCCTGCTTAACGCTGACAACTTCGTCTCGACCCAGGTGTACCATACTTTCCACGACGAGGTGGATGAGTACCGGCGACACTGGTGGCGCTGCAATGGGCCGTGTCAGCACAAGAAGCCATATTACGGCTACGTGAAACGCGCCACCAACAGGGCACCCTCTGCCCATGACTACTGGTGGGCTGAGCACCAGAAAACCTGTGGAGGCACCTACATAAAAATCAAGGAACCAGAGAGCTACTCAAAAAAAGGCAAAGGAAAGACAAAACCAGGAAAGCAGCCAGTATCAGAAGCAGAAAATAAAGGTAACTCTGCTTATATTCTCCCAGCTTTTCCACGGCTGTGGCTGTGACACAGACAGTACTGTCCATCAGGGACCTGGCATTAGGTAAGCTTAAGGATTGTTTCTAGTGTAGACGTTTTCAAGTGTGGACTCAAGGGAAAAAAAAAAATCCCGTTGTCCATGAAATGGTGGTAGAAAACTATCCTCTGCTGTATACACATGTGAGTAAAAGTAGAAGCAGTTTCCACCGCTGAAATTTGAGGGTGAAGTCCCTTTCCCTGTCCTGACTCACTGGGTCATTAGGATAGAAACAGAAGGCAAAGACTGTCCGAATGAAAACAGTAATTCAGATAACAATGCCCGGAATGGAAGTCCTAGCTACACCCCTTCCTATCAGTTGGAGTCTATCCAGGTGACTTCTGTTGATGTATGTATTTTCATTGGGAGAATGGGAAAAGGATATGACATGTATTACGCTAGTACTTCATCTTCAGGATTTATCCCTTTCCTGTGCAGTTCAGAGTTACTGCCTTTTTTTTTTAACTTTTTTTAGCTCTGTAATCTCACTTTTTTTTTTAAAGTCTTTATTGAATTTGTTACAATATTGTTTCTGTTTTTTGGTTTTTTGACCTGGAGGCATGTGGGATATTAGCTCCTTGACCAGGGATCGAACCTGCACTTCTTGCATTTGAAGGCGAAGTCTTAACCACTGGACCGCCAGGGAAGCCCCTAGAGTAACTGCCTTTTGAAGGGGTAACAAGGTTACTAAAGTTAATGCTTCTTCCCTTGGGAAGCTGTGGATTTGATGTGATAAGGACTCACAGACATAAGCTATATTTCTCATATCTGAAGTGTTCATTAGTAAGTTGAGAAGCTATAGAAGAATTTACGTGGAGAGATTTTATGCCCTCAGTTTTGTGAGTTGGGAAGATAAGAACGTGGTAGCAGATTTTTCGCTTCTGGAATGACACTTAAGAATACTAAAAGCAATTTTCAAGGTAAAAGTTACTTTGCTGTTGATGTTTGTGTGATAGAACTGCTTATCTAAATATGAGAGGGTGTTTTTGTCCTTTATGTTTTCTCAGTACCACAGCTTTCGGACTGCTGAGGATTGTCCGTCTCCCGTCAGTAGATAATTACAACATAGTTCTAATGCAGAACAGAAGTAGTATTTCTTCATTTGGAAAAGCTATCCATTAGCTTAATATTTGTTATGGTATTGATTTTGAGCCAAGGAAGAATCTTATTTGCTTCTTTTGCAGGTAAACCGAACAGAGGGGAGACACAGCTGTTAATCCCTTTCAGTGGGAAAGGGTATGTTCTAGGGGGAACCAGCAATTCGCCTTCATCTGGGAAATGTCTCACTTCACATGCTGTTAAAACCCAGGATCTTTTAAATCAGGACCATTCAGCAAATGCCTTAAGACCCAATTCGAAACCTGAGGTGACATTTGAACAGAACGGCTCAAGTGGGAAAACTTCCTTAGTCTCCGCTGCTCTCAGTTCCAGTCACCAAAGTGTTTTAAGCAACTACTTCTCGAGAGTATCGGTCTCCAAGCACAAGGCTTTCAGAAGTGTGAGTGGGTCTCCGATGAAAAGCCTCACGGTTGGTGACATCGCTAAAAACTCGGTCTCTTCTAGTTCTCAAAGGAGGGTGACATCTTCTAAGATATCCCTAAGAAATCCTCTAAAAGCAGTGGAATCGACATCTGTGACTGCACCCCAGGTTGCAGGTGGGCCTGAAGATCAATTCCCAAGTAAACGCCCCAGGCTCGAAGACAGGACCGTTTTCGACAACTTTTTTATCACGAAAGAGCAAACACAGAGTGGTGGTAACGATCCAAAGTGTGGTTCACGTCCTATAGCTGCAACGCAGAATGCCAGCAGTTCATCTAGTCAGAGCAGAACGGTTCACTGTCCTGTTTGTCAGAGTGAAGTTTTGGAGTCTCAGATTAATGAGCACCTGGACTGGTGCCTTGCAGGTGATAGCCTCTAAGTCAAAAGCTGAAAACAATCTCAAAAATGAATGGGTCTCACATGTCCCACCCGTATCACCTCATAGCACAGTGTCAGCCGCTCAGGAATTCCTGGTTAGTGCTAAGATCTGCAGATTATAACCTAGTTCACCCATATTAAATGTTCTATTTTATATATACATATATGAGATTTTAACTTAAAACTATTTTATGTCTGAGGGTGCTATACTCACTCGTAGGTGTACTGTAGCCCAGAGTTGCTTCTGGGTGCATACACGTATAATTTTTAGATACTTTGATTCTTTCTTTTAAAAGTATTTAAATCTGTTAATCTTTTTAATTTGCATATTTTCCTTAAAATAGTCAGTGAGGAATCCTGTCAGGTGTTTGGTTAAATTCCTTTATTAATATTAAAACTCATTCCCAGAACTGGTAATATTCATAGTATCGGACATATTGACCAAAAATACAACCTAGTTGTTTTCCGGTACTCAAGGCTTTTGGTTTTTCTTTTTTTTTTCTTCAAAATTTTAACAGGAAGTACATTTCCTATATTATTAAGATTTTTATTTCTCTGTTTCACTAAAAGGTGGCAGCAGGTTTGAGGTTAAAGTAGATAAGCAGAGTAAAATAAATTCCTTTTGGAATATTGCTGGTAACAAATAGCCACTGTAATTCTGTGGGCCGGGGTGGAGCTGTTCTCTCAGCGCTTCAGCGAAATGACTGGTTAAAGCTCAGTACTAGGTAACTGGCATATATAACATAACCAAGTTGCCTAGTTTACGTACAAGTGGACCATCATCTGGAAACAGTATTATGAACCTTAAGCCAAAGTTGAAACCATTTAGGAATACCATTTGTGTATGTAAAAAATTATATTTCTTTTAAAAAGCATTCTTTTCCACGTCCCAGCAAAGGGACAGAGATAGTTTGGTCAGTTTACTTTGTCTCATGGCTCTGCCACCAGTGTGTTGGCGTATTTTCAGGGCCTTAGTTCACAGGTTTTCTTTTTCTTAACTTCGTTGCAACGCGACTTTACATCTGTAAGGTGCAGCTGGGTTCCCCGCTGAGTGACCACTATGCAGGTGCAGTTAGAGAGCATTTCAGTTGCCATGAAGTGTCCTTATGGGCAACTCTCGCCAGCCAACACCCACCACCCCAGAGTAACCAATGTTTTCGTCTGTCACCACGGTTAGTTTAGCTTGTTTTTAAACACTATGAAGTAGTACCTTTGTTGCTATGGGTAGCAGAAGTTCAGTCTTTTCATTGCTCTGTAGTATTTGTATGAATATGCCCGAGTTTATCTATCATTCTGATATTAATGGACATTGCAATTATCTCCAGTTTGGGGCTGGCCATTCTGAATAACGCTGCTAAGAACATTCGTACTCATTTCTGCTGAGCATATCCCCAGTCTGGAATGCAGGGTCACCAGGTGCATTTATGTGTAGCTTTAGTAAATGCTGCCAGTTTACAGTCCTGCCCGCAGTGTATGAGAGCTTGTCGCTCAGCAGTCTTAACGCTGTTGTCAGTGCTTTTCATTTTAGCCTGTCTGGTTGAGTGTTTACGAGTTTTGATATTTCTTAGGCATGAAGTTAAACAATAGTATTTAATAAATATTTATAGATAAATGACTTAAAATGTGTATTATGTTGAATATATACCGTTACACTTTCATAGAGGATCATTTTCTCTACTTCAATTTAACAAATTTTGTGCAGTTTAACACTTTTTGGGGGCGGAGGGGTGCAAAACCGTACAAGGTTCTGGGGCTGTGAAGTAAGTAAGAGCCCGAGTCCTCAAGGAGCTTTACAGCCTAGTCGGGGAGTGAGACAAGCAGAGGTGGTTTCAGCGCAGTAAGTGCTCTGACGGGCTTCTGCCGGCGCTGCGGGAACTTAAAGACGATCAGCAGAATAGCCCAGGGCTTCAGGGGACGGAGGGACAAGCTCTACATCCGGCTGAGTCTCCTAGGGCCAGTCAGGGTCGCCTGGGGTCGGCGTGGGGGATAGAAAGGGCCTTGCAGAGAAGGAACACGAAGGCTTGGAAACAGACCGGCACGTTCGACTGGGAGAACTAAGCTGTTCCAAGTGGACGGAGTGTATGTAAGATGTGAGGGGTAAGATGGCAGGAGAAGGGCTGCAGACAGGACAGGTGTACGCAGAGCCTGAGGGCAGAAAGACCCATCCGTCCGTCACGTTCTGCGCTTTACATCCAGTTTGTATGGCCATCTGCTGATTCAGGTGGGGCTGGTGCAGTGAGGGTTGGGAAGGCTTGTAAGCCAGCCAAGAACATTCGAGAAGTGTTTTGACCAGTTCTCCGGGGGCAACAGAGACAGGAGGAAGAAAGGGGGGCAGTGGCAGGGAAAGAGAGAGGATGGGTTCGAGAAATCCTCAGGTTGTAAAGTCAAGAGCTGGTCAGTTTTAAGGGATGATGGGAATGTTAGTTGGCAAGAAAACAAGTTAATTTTAAATTTGGGATTAAATAAGGCTTCGTGTCAATCGCTCAGAATGCTGATACTCCCCAATCTGTCATTTATATTAGAAAAATAGTTTTCTGTTTTGTTGGTTTGTTTTTCCCTTTTAAAGCAAGTTTCCTATCCTGATAACAGTCATTTGGGGTCAACCTTTAAATGTTGTTGCCCTTCATGTTGGAGAGATGGGGTGGGAGAAGGGGAGCAGACTTGACTTCTGTAAAAATTCGGTGTTTTTTAAGGTCAAGGTTATACAATATCTAGCAAAGCAACTTTAGACCTAGAAAGTGTAGTGGACTTTCACAGTAGACTATAAATGCATATCCTAACTGGAAATTCTAAGGTGGGTGGGAAAATGGGACGGAAATCTCGCAGAGTGTCCCGTCGTCCTAAAGCTCCGAGCTTGTGGGGTTTTTCCCCCCCCCCCCAAGCTTAGAGGAGTTTTAAGTAAATTAGAATGTCAAAGTGAAAGAGGCGCTGCATCTCCCTGCAGATTAGTACCCAGCTGGGATCCCGTGCCTGGGGCACACGCGGTATCTCCTCTCACTGGGCTGCTTGGTGAAAAAGCGGAAGTCTTTTTGCAGTTAGTCCTTATTGAGGGGCAGTGGGTTCCTGTTGTTCTTTGTCTCAATTTTTTGTCCTTGAGGCTACTGGTGCCTTAGCAATTTGTTGTGTGTGTTGTTGACTAAGTAGCATATCCACCAAATGAAGTGAAACTCTATTGGACAATTATTATTACAGATTAAATTGCCTGGGGAGTTGAAATGAACAGAAGAGGATGCAATGTGGAGATCAGCTCTGGTTTTCCTTTCTTTTTCTAACATTCCACTAGAATGTTAGAAGTTATGTAATTCCATACACATCATCACACACCTTTTGATATGAAAAGTGAAAGACTTGATCTTCTTAAGTGACTCAGGAATCATCTCAATATTAAAATTTACACCGTTGTAGACTGTAATACAGAAACAAGCCGCTGTTTGCTTTCTTCAGTTCTGGTGCTAATAAACCTACCAAAAGATTTATACCCTCTGGCTTCACTGAACACCAGATGGCGCTCTTAGTAAATTAAATTTCTCTGAAAAACCGAAGGCAAAAAGCAAAGCCAAAAGGATATAAGGGAGAAACTTCAACGGGCATAGTAATTGCTAATTTTGACGCATAAAGGGAAACGGTAGGTTAGGATCTCAAGTCCTGAGAGAGGAGGGGACACAGCATGGCCAAGAGTGTGTGCTTGTTGAAACAAACGAGGACTGATCTACAGGGCACCGTAATCTCCCCAGACTTGTTTTCATTTCACCTTCCACTCTGAACACTTAACAAACATATGGCAAAACATGGTACTCCCCAACAGAATGTCTTCCAGACGCGGTGGGACCTATACTTTCTACTGCTTTCAAAATCACAGTACTCTTCCTTTGAATGTCTGGTACTTCTTATTTTGTTGTGTATCATCTAGGTTAGTCTGAAAGCTTCCTAGGACATAATGACCTTTGCCCCTGTGTCAGAGGTCTAGAAGAAAGAAGAGGGGCCTGTTAAATTCTTGGCGTTTCTCAACTTCCATTGTTACCTGCTTTTGCAAAAACATCTTAACGTAACACTGACTCTTCCCCATACTTCCCTGAAGAATCAAAGTTTGTATTTTCAAGATAGGATATTCTTAAGACCCAAATCATTCCAGGTTATAAGCATGCTTTGCAAACTAAATACATGAAAATCTGCATCTACATGAAAGAAAACTGGATTTTTTTTAACAAAAGATTCCTCACAGGGTTCCTTTATGTATTTGTATACATTTAAAATAATTCCCTAGGGAAGGTAAGATGCACCCAGACACCTGTTCAGTTGCATTCTTACCATCAGATACTCAAATAGCCACCTCCATAGGATCCCCAGGGGAGGATGGAGTCTAGCTAGCTTCTTGGCATGTCTGTGAGAGCCACCGTGGTTGTTATCTGTAGACTGTTCATTCTCATTGGTATAGCAGGCGTGTATGTGTCCATCCTGCTTTCCAACTCTTTGTGCCTATTTTATTTTGTACTTTGGGCTGCTTTCCTACTTTTTTTTTTTTTAAATGACCTTCATTATATATTCAGTTGAATCTATTCTTCCTGGGGTACCTCACAATTTAATCTTCTAATTTTGTCATTTTCAATTCTCTACTGAGTTGCATCAGCTCTTGTTTCACAGCTTCCTGAGGAGTCTTTTGGACCATTTTTGTTCTGAGATTTTGAATTTCGAATTTCAGGTGTTAGTTTTTATTTCCTGCCAAGTTCTGTTGGAGGATATTTAATTCACACCGAATATTGTTGCAGTTTTCTGCCTTATGGTTGAGGGGAGAATTTTCAGCAGCTATACTTCTCGTTTTTTTTCTTCTTATAGATAGTAGTGTTTGTAGATATTTTCTTCCCTTTTCGGCTCATTTTGAAAGGTATTCTTTTCCTTGACTTGCAGAAACAGTTGGTTCGACGTAGGCAAGGATGAGGGGTTTCTGATTCAAGAGTGTTTTCTTCTGTTGGAACAGTGAAATACGGTATTTCTCAAGAGATGACACTTTTCTTTGTGAGGTGTGTTGGGGCTTGGAGTCTCACCTGATTCTGTAATTTTACTTTTCTAAGACCCTTACTTCCTCCTTTCATTTTATCATCAAGCCTCCAGGAGACATCTCCCCCCTGTCCCAGACACGGTACATTCCTCACACAGCCCCCTTCAATCTCATTCAGACTTCCCCTTGATGATCCCGTGGGCAGCGCTGTGAGGCACTGGTGTGAGGCGTCAGCATCCCCATCACTCGTGCTGGGGGCCCTGTGTTCTTGCCCTGTGTACTGCCACAGCTAGGCCCCCTGCCCTTGTCTCTTTACCATATAGTTTCCACCTGACTCCGCCTTCATAGGAATTCTGATGCCGGCTCTAGATGAACTTTTTTCTGTGTCTCACAGTTACGCTGCAGGTACAGGTTATAGGTGACTTTGTTGGGAAGACAGTGAAAGAGATTCAGATTTAGGCAGCAACTACTATTCCTTGGAAAACCAGAAGCTCAAGTACTCCCCCCTTAAATATGAACACACAGCAAGAACTATCAGACCTGGGAGGAAAGCTTCTAACCTGACAGACAAAAATGAAATCAAACAGAAAACAACGTTCAATACTGTGTCTATTCAACAGAATAGGTTTTTCTATATTTTAAAAATTTAGAGAACATAAAAGAGAGCTCTTGAAAATTAAAACCGTGAGAGCAGACGTGAAACCCTTGCGGGCAGAACTGAAAAAGACACGTCTCCTCGGTAAAGGACAAAGACGCAGAGGAAGCAGACGACAGCAGCTGGCTCAAACCTGAGGTGCACTGTCTGAATGACTCGGGTTCAGAAAGAGCAGAGAGGGTGGAGGGGAGAAACAATTTAAGAAAATGTCCCCGAATGTACGGCACGAATTTACAGCTTGCATACCTAGCGTACTGGCGGAGAACGGGTGACTGTAAAACGGTGGAGCCCTGGGGACAAAGAATTATTCCGTGAGCTTCCACAGAGGAAAAGCAGATGACATGTAAAGAATTAGAAACAGGAACGGCTTCAGATTTCTCAGCATCCACACTGCGACTTAGAACCTGGACAGTGCCTTCAAAAGTCTGAAGGGTAATTATTTCCAAGCTAGATTTCTAAACTCAGGCAAGTTACCAATTAAACGTGAGGGTCAAAAAAACCAACAGACATTGGTCTCAGGAAACTGAGCTCTCACATACTCTTTCACAGAACGCGTTGAAGGCCAGGCCCACCAGATTGAGGAACTAAACCAACATGGAGGAAGACATGGGACCCAGGAAATGGGAGACCCAACGGAGAGTGGTGATAGGATCTCCAGAACAATGTGGAAGGAGGTCTAGGGAAGGCAGCTGTGCGCCAGGCACAAAGGGCAACCACTCCAGGTTCCTGCAGGTTAGACGCCACAGGGGAAAACAAAAGATCAAGCAAGACATAAAGAAAAAAGTAAACTGGGAAAGTCATCATGGTTTATTCTGCGTCTCACCTTTGAATTAGCACAAATAGCCTTTCCCCCCTCCCCCCCCACCGGCTGCGCCGCGCGGCATGCAGGATCCTAGTTCCCCAACCAGGCGTCGAACCCGTGCCCCCTGCAGTGGAAGCGCAGAGTCCTAACCACTGGATCACC